CAGGTGAAGCCACTCGATCATTGAAGTACGTAGGCGCTTAAAGTATACTAGAACCATCGCGCGCGCTTCGCGCTCGCTCAAGTTCTAGCACATGCACTGCGACTGCGGTCGCCCGACCGAAGAGCTTAAGGAGTCAAACGCACTATCGCTGTCAAGCTCATGATCGCCAACACTTCACAGACGCCATTCCGAACATCGATATCCTCATCCTCATCATCACCATCGCCATCATCAGCATCGTCATTGTCTCTATCATCATCGTCGCAATCAACATCTGCACCACCACCACCACCACCACCACCATCATCATCTTCATCATCACCACCATCGTCATCATCATCATCACCACCACCACCACCACCACCATCATCATCATCATCATCATCATCATCATCATCATCATCATCAGTACCATATGGGCTCGAGCTTTCTTGGGGGAAAGCGAGCGCAACCCGTCCGACCTGCCCTAAGAATCCGTTCGCCGTACTCGGGGCGGTACCGACAATGTGGTCACTGCAAAAGATCGGTTGCCTACCGTGAAGCTCTAATCACATCCCATCCGTTCGAGAAGAGATGGGAAAAGCAGCGCAGCTCAAGATCAGCGGGCCCGCCGCTCGCAAGACCAAGGTAGTCGATCTGATCCAGAATGCCGGGGGGCGATCGCGCCACCGCGGCCTACAACGAGCTCTGCCATAAGGACCAAGTGGGGCTTGACCAGTTGTTGGCCGCGACCCCAAAAGAGAAGGCGACAAGAGCTATCCAGAAGCTCTTGACCAAGCACGAGATCTCGTGGACCCACGAGCACCAGCGGCGAAAGCCTAGCGCCAATGCTGTGACTGATGGTGAAGCGACAGGCAAAGGGAAAGGCAAGGGCAAACCCGCAGTGGAGACGCCAATCGCCTTAGACGAGGAGGACTGGTCGGCGCCCGTCGCCCAGGCCCCAAAGAAGCTCCCGAATTGCGAGTACGAGTCCTCGGTCTCACTCCACTCCACTCCATGGGCGATGCAGAGAAGTGGTGCTCCGCCATGCGGCGCCAGAAGGAGCCCATCGCGATTGTGGCCATCGGCAGCGGGAACTCGAAAAGGACCCACGAGAAGATCATATCCCAGTGCTGAAGGTCCCGCACGGCGCCCAGGTGCCGCGCAAGACCTTCATGGACGGCATCATGCACCAGTTCGGCGAGACCGAGGTCAACCTGAAGACCAACATCGCCCAGCTGGCGCCAGCGGCAGGCAGCGCGACTTTAATGCGCATTACCATCCATGAGGCCAACATTCTGCTGGTCAACCCGAGCATGAAGGAAGTATTCAGCAGCCAGTTCAGCGCAGCAGCACCCATCGTGGTTGGGTGCCAGAAGTCCGAGAACAAATACTCAGTACGACAAACGAGCGATGGAGACAAGCTCGGCGCACTGATGCAAAGCTCAACCTAGACAATGGCCTCCGCGATGTCTCCAGTCGACCCATGAATGCCATCTGCCCCGAATTCGAATCGCAAGGCGAGCCCAGCCCACTGCTTCGTGCTGGAAATCCAAAAAAAAAGACTACGTACCTTGGGCGCGGTGCTAGCAACAGCCCACGACGACGCCGACAACTTGATGAAGTTTCCGGGACACCACGGCATCACGTTCGCCTACTCTTCTATTGGTGCTGGGACCGACCAGCAGGAGAAGGACAAAGAGCGCATCCAAATCTTCTGGTTCAACGAAACAATCTCCATGCAGGAGGCCAATCGCTGGCCAAAGGCTATAAGGCTGCAATCGGGGTCAAGGGCGACCGCGGGCAGTTCGGCCTGCGCATCTTGCGAGAGCACCAGGAGGCCTCAACGGCAGCCGCAGCAGTTCGAGGCCCTGCCACCGCGCTGGCGCGGCGCAAGTGGCGGATCGACAACATCCCCAACGGCCAGGCGACCAAAGGTCAGGTCCTCGAGGCGGCCCAGTCCATTGGCTGGTCCCGCGACATCGTCTACGTTGACTACGACAGCAACGAGAAGGCGAACTACGCCATCGCGCGCCCCGACTCGGAGCCCACGAACATGCGCTGGAAGCTCGGCTCCGCCAAGCCCTGGGTCGTAACGGAGGTCACCCCAGGCGTCCCAGCGGCAGCCAAGGGTATCAATCTGACGGTGGCCCCCACAGTGGTGTTGGCAAACGCGCTGGCCAAGCTGTCGACCGCCTCGCCTCTGCCACCGCCGACTGGCGGGGTTCCGCCGTCAGGAGAGGCTGGCGCGCCGCCGCGGCTGTCGGCGCTACGCGGGCAACCACCAGAGGCCGCCAAGTCGGACGACGCGCACAACGACGCCATGGAGGTGGACAACAAGAAAGACGCGAATGAGGCTTCGCCGCAAACCGCTCCAATCCGACTACCCGATGCAGAACATCAACGCACGCAAGCTCTCGAGCCCAGCGTAAAGGCGCAGCAGGCTACCATAGCCATGCTGGACACGTTCGCCAAGCAGGCGACGGCGACCACGGCGCTCAATGGCAAGGTGGACGAGAACATCTCACAGACTCAGAAGGCGGTGACGGAGCTCCGCCAGCAGAACAGGGCTATCAACGACACGATCTCGACAGACCAGAACGTGCTGCAGGCGACCTTGGGAGAGATCCTGAAGAGGATGAACGCACAGAGCCAGGGTAAGCCCCCGAGGAGCCCAAGGACAAGTCGCCGCTCATCACGGCCGCCTGAAGGTGCCCAAGGAAGGCCAGCCCTGCCTTCCGTTGGGAAGTTCGATCTAAAGGTCGTGGGCTCCATGGGTGCGATTAATATGGACAGTCTCTGGGACGCAGCGACGGGGATGGCTGCCGCTCCCACGCCATGGACATCGCGAACCTCCACGCCTACGTGCCGCTACCTTGTCAGCATGACTACCTCAGCGACGCGCAGTCATGTTTTGCTGGAGTCCGAAACGCCTTTGCAGTCGTGCTCCTCGAGCGACTGCAAAGCTCCGTCGCCACAGCTTTTGCTAAGACAACTCGAGCAGCTTCCGATCAGCGTCGACACGGGATTGTCAGAACGCAGCCATGTTTTGCCGGGGTCAGAAACGCCTGTGTGGCCGTGCTCCTCGAGCGGCCGCAGGGCTCAGTCGCCGCAGATGTTGTTAGGACAGCTCGAGCAGCATCCGAACATCAGCAACGACATGGGCATGTCAGAGCGCAGACATGTTTTGCTGGAGTCAGGAGCGCCCCCGCAGCCGTGCTCCTCGAGCGGCTGCAAGGCTACGGCGCCACGCAGGTTCGCTTGACGCACGAGGTATCGGCCGTGGAACGTTGGGCACGTGCGGCAGCATCTATCGTTCAACTGGGGAAGTATTGCCTTGTGTGCTGGGCGGCCTTGGGCTGTGGCGCATCGTACACGTTCCTACTCCGACTCTCCTCAAAGTGACGGCCCTGATTCGCATGGGCTGGTGTCGCTCAATGTCACGTCTCTACAAGCGCATTGGGGGCTACTCACTGCACTCGGCGAACGAGGCGCGGCCGTAGCGGCGCTCCTTCTCCTTCGCCTCGAAGAAGGGGCATGGCGGCGGAAGCCAGACAGCGCCAGTCCAAACAGGAATGGGAAATCATCATGTTTTGCCTCGTGGTGCCTTCGGCCCATCCCGCCACCGTGTCTGCGTTGTGGGTTAGAGGCTTCTCGGATGTTCGCAAGAATGATATCGTGGGATGCCTCTCGGAGGGTCTTTTGGAAGCAAGTTTGAAGCCTGTACGGGGGCTTTGTGGAGCTTGTCGGGCCTCTCTTAGGCATCTTTGAAGCCTCTTGGAACCGCTTGGGGGCCTCTTGGGGCCTCTTTGGGACGGGAAGCTCGAAAGGTCGGTTCGCGTTCCCTCTTTTGGGCCCATCTTAGAGCCGTCTTCAGGCCCTCTTCAGGCCCTCTTGGGCCGTATTGGGGGCCTCTTGGGCCGATCATGCGGCCCTCTTGGGCCGTCTGAGGCGCCTCTTGGAGGCCTCTTGGGGCGACGTTGAAGGCTTCTTGGACAGTCTTGGAGTGTCGGCCGCTCGAAAACGTGTGAAAGCAACACATATATGAAAACACAATGAAAATCTATGATTTTGGCGTCTTGGGGCTCTCTTGCAGGTCCTCGCGGAGCGACCTTGGGGACTCTGGGGGGCCTCTTGGGCCGATCATGGGGCCATCTTGGGCGGCTTGGAGCGCTCTTGAGCCGTCTTGGCGGCTTCTTGCCGTCCCCAGAAGCCTAGGTGGACGCCTCGGGGAAGCGAGAAAAGTTCTGGGATTCCGAAAACGGGCCCCTGGATGCCAAAACAGGCCCCCGCACCCCAGGGGGCAAATTCGGTTACGGGGGTGGGGGGAGTTGGGGAAAAGTGTGCGACCCCGGGCCGCGGGGGCCTGGACGCCGCTTCTGTTATAGATTGGGATAGGGGGCTCCAAAAAAAACGACTTTCAACGATCGATGGGTACGGCAGGTTCGCGTCGTGTCGACTTTGGCGTTGGTTTCTGACACCTCGGGGATCGTTCAACCTTGAACGATCGGCCGTTTCCGAAACGTCCAAATCGCTCCACATCGAGCGACTCCGGGTCGCCCGCGGCATTCAACGTTGAACGTCCCTGGCGGGGTCGCCGCCAGTCGACACGACACGAACCTACCGTACTGCTCTGAGGTCCGTGGAGTAGGACACCGCCAGGACCAGGAAGCCCCGCGCCGCCAGCTGCCTCAGCAGGCGGCCGTACGCGACGTGCGGCGCCGCGCCCGCCAGCGCGCCGCCGGCGAAGCACAGCACCGCCCTCGGGCTGCCCGAGGGCCACAAGGCCAGCACGTCCTCTCTGGGCGGCGCGCACACGGGGGGGGCAGGGGGAGGGGGGAAGGCTTCTTGGAAGGAGGCTGCCTCTTAGAAGGCGCTGGCCTTACCTCTACAGACCAGGCCCGCGCCTTCTGAGAAGTAGGGTACTTCTAAGAAGCCCTCCTCCCTCCCCCTACCCCACTCTGCGCGTGGCCGACTCTCCACGAGAACGACGAAAACAAACGTGTCCTATGCGAGACGACGTAGCGACCTTACGCCGCGGCTTACGCGGGCCGTCAGCGTGGCACGCCGCCATGGAGAAGAGGGCGCTTACGCACGCGTGAGTTTACGCGGAAGCTGACGCGCGGATGTCGCCACAATCGAGCCGGTCATTCTGCGTAAGTGCTCAGCCACAGCAGCGCGTTTGGGTTCTGACCTCGCTTCCGCCTCGGAACAGAACCAACCCTGACATCCTGCCGTTGCATATCATTTTTGTTCACACTGGACGTTTTCGCCCTGTATCGGGCTCCAGGACAATCACAGATCGATGCGGCTCAAGAAATCCCGCAGAAACATGTCTAGGGCTGCGGTCGTGATTTGCCGCGATGTTGCATTTGTTTTGCAACGTCGGCTCTGAAGAAACGTGGGAGGCTCCCTGGTGCAAGGTTCTGTTCGGCGGTGAGCCCGGGGGGGGGAAGTGAGACGGAGCGGGCCTTCTCAGAAAGCTCGGAAGTCCTCGGGCCTTCTGGCAAGTTTTCTAAGCCTTCCCCGAAGACAATCCGCAGGCGCGGGGGCTGATGAGAAGTCCAGCCGCCCTCTGAGAAAACCTTCTCCTTCTCACTTCCCCCCCCCCGCTCGCCGCCAGTGCGTGCCCGGAGCGGAGGCACAACGAGGGATCGGAGCCGGAACGAACACCGCCCACGCGGCTGCCGCAGCCAGCGTCTTGGCCGACGGCCAGCACCCAGAGCCCCGGGCGGCAGCTGCCCCGGGAGGCTCTCGGCACGAGGTGTACAGCAGCTGCTCTGTCGCTTGCCGTCGCTCGGGCGTCCGTTCTCTGTGCACGTGGCGGTATCGCGCGTGTTTCCCAGCCATCCTCTGGTGTCGGGTCCTCCTGCTGAAGAGACATTTCCCCGCGTCACACCTCACTCCAACCCCTCTCATCCCTCCTGCAATCCTTCCTTTGCCCTACGCATGTCCATTACGCCACACCCCTCCTGGGCTTCCTGGCCTCATAGGGAGCTCCATCGAAGGCCCAAGTGGCAGGGTTCGCAGGGTTCGCCGCCCGTTTCGGCACACCCCTCACACGTTTCGTATCTTCGTGGCCCCATCGGGAGCTCCCCCGAAGGCCCCAATTGCAGGGTTCGCATGCGGTTCCCCGCCCATGTCGGCACACCCCTCACGCTCTTCGTGGCCGCATGGGGAGTTTCACCAATGCTCTAGTGACAGGGTTCGCGTTCGGTTCCCCGCCCGTTTCGACACAACCCTCACGCGCTTAGTGGCCCCATGAGGAGCTCCACCGAAGGCCCCAGTGACAGGGTTCGCGAGCGGTTCCCCGCCACCGGAGACCCCAATTGCAGGGTTTGCACGCGGTTCCCCGCCCATGTCGGCCCACCCCTCACGCGCTTCGTGGCCCCATAAACTCCACCGAAGGCCCCAATTGCAGGGTCTGCATGCGGCTTCCCGCCCCTTTCGGCACACCCCCTCACGCGCTCCGTGGCCCCACAGGAAACTCCACCGAAAGCTCCGGTGACAGGGCTCGCATGCCGTTCCAGGCGAACTTCGGCACACCCCTCACGCGCTTCGTGGCTTCGTGGTCCAATGGGGAGCTCCGCCGAAGGCCAAGGCCCCAGTGACAGGGCCTGCACGCGGCCCCCCGCCCTTTACGGCACGCCCCTCACACGCTTCGTGGCCCCAGGCCCTCCTTGGACTGCCCGCCTCTGCGGTCCCGTGCCGCGGGCGACCCGCGCGCGTCACCAGAAGTCGTTCGGGGGGCCAGCGCGCGTCGCTTGGGACGCCTCTGCGTGGCCTCTCTGCGGACGACGGGCTTGCATGTTGCGGGCGCCTGAAGAAAAGAAATGGGATCCCCGAGCGCCAGGGGGGGGGAGGACGAACGACGAGCGAACGAACGACGACGACGAAAAGAAAGAGGTCCGAGCTCTAGAACACAGTTGTGCAAAATCCGCCGATCCGGCGTGTGAGTTTCAAGGAGTCTCAGCTACAGCCTCGAGGCTGAGCCTCAGCCTCTGGGGGGGTTGCTGGGGTGGCTCTGCCGGGGAAGGGGGGGTGGGGGGGGGGGTGCGAGTTTCCGGCGGATGCGTTTTTTGACACCCCTCACAAGGATCGTGGCCTCCGAGGGGGTTCCGAACTCGAGTACCACCCCTCCCGCACCAAGAGGCTCCGAGGAGGCCTCCAAGAGGCCCCAAGGGGCGCAGAAGAGGCCCCCAAGAAGCCCCAAGAGGCTCCCAAGAGACCCCCAAGAGGCCCTCTAGTGGCCCCAAGAGGCCCAAGAGGCCCCCAAGAAGCCCCAAGAGGCGCCCAAGAGGCCCCCAGAAGTCCCAGCCAACCACGAGATCCCAACCAGCATCCATGAGGCCTCTGACCCACCACCCACGCACGGTGGCGGGATAGGCCGACGGCCACTGGATAAATGCTGAGTGAGAGGAGGGGAGGGAAAAAGAGAGGAGGGACGAGGGCGAAGAAGGATCACATCAGTCGGAGCGCCCCGGATCGGCGGCACTGGCCGAAGGCCACTACAATAATATTCAAAAAAAAATCCCGAGCGCCCGTTCGCCCGTCGCCCCTGACCCCGCGTGCCCTTGTTCGTCATCCTCCTCCTCCTCCTGCTCCTGCTCCTCCGCGCCCAAGTCCTTCTGCGGGGCCCCCATTCCTGTTTCTTGCCTGCCTCGCGATACTCGCAGCTGCAAATGGTTGGGCCCTTCGCCAGTGCAGCTCCTTCCGTGAGACGATCCTAGCTACTCCTGGTGGGCCAGATTTCTGGGCGGTGGCCTCGCCGAGCAAAATGCACACTCCCGAGCGATGCCAAGATCGAAGCGCGCCGTGCCATGAGACGAAGCCAGGACAGGGAAAACATCGGACCAGAAAAGACGGGGATCTTTGAGATCCAGAGATTCTGGAGAACGTATCGGACGCCGCGGCCTACTCAGAGCGTTCCAGAACTTTCTGACAGCGTTCCGGAACGTTCTGGAATGATTATCCCTTTTCTAGCCCCGCACGATTTCACCTCCTGAATAGTTCGGGTGATCACAACATTGGGCAGGGACCGACCGTCCCAGCATTCCTATAGGCGTACCACGACTTGTTGCTAGAACCGGCAATTGTTCTAAGAACAAAAGCAAGTTCTTATAACGTAAAGCCGATGCACGAAAAGAACATCAACATATGATATATCAGCCAGAAATGTCATAAGCATCGGCAAAAGAGGGTCCTCCACCACGCGGTCCCACTCGCCGACGCGATCAGCGGACGCGGCGGGCCCGCCAGCGCCGCCGCCCCTGACGGGGTCGAGCAGAGGGGAGAGACGATGCCTGGACAAGCCCCCGACAGCGCCCCGATTGGCAACGAATGGGCGATGGTTCCCCCCCCTGGGCCAGTCCCCTGCCCCGCTCCCCTCAGCTCCGACGTCGCACAAGAACGAACCACCGCGGCACACGACGACCGGAGCCCTAGACCCCATCTTCTTCCGCGGCACCTCCCGAGGCCAGAACCATCCGTGAGAAAGCCCAGGGGCCCAAAACGGTGCGCAGAGACCGCCCGTTGCGGAAAAGGCGGCTGCGCCCGGGCCCAGCCCTCCGACGCCCTGCCTTTGTTCAGCACAGGGTCCCCAAAGCTCTGGACCGCTTCCCGGGGACGGAGAAAAAAGGAGGAGGAGGAGGAGGAGGAGGAGGAGGAGGAGGAGGAGGAGTGCGAGGAAGGAGGACGAGGAGGAGGAGGAGGAGGAGGAGAAGCAAAAGGAGAAGGAGAAGGAGGAGGAGGAGGAGGAGGAGGAGGAGGGAAGGAGGAGGAGGAGCAGGAAGACGAGGGGGAGGAGGAGCAGGAGGAGGAGGAAGGAGGGGGACGGCGAGGAAGAGGACAGCCCAGGGGCCCCGGCGAGGGCCCCTGGGGGCCGAGGGCGACGAAGAACCTCCCTGCTCATTGCGCATGCGTCGGAGCGCTGGGGCGCCGGAGCCCTGGGGCTGCCGTTGGACCCCTGGGCTCTGCGGCCCGACGGTTATGCCACAAAACTACACCGTCCCGGGCCAGAGCACGGCGGGGGCCCCCGGCCCCAGCTTTAAGTCGGGCCTGTCCCCCTACATGGGGATTTTCAACGCTAAATTAAAAAGTCCCCCAAAATAGTCAAAGAATAATCAACAAATAGTCAGGGGACTACTTTTTTAAGTATGTTTTGACCCTTTTGGGGTCTTTTTGGATTATTTTTTATTTGTCGTCGAAAATCCCCCTGTATGGGGGACAGGCCCGACATAACCCCAGCTCTCTGCGGCATGCCTCGGGCCCACGCCGACCTGCCATGGCGCGTGGGCCCGAGGTGCCCCGCGTGAAGAGGGGGCCACACGCGAACCCTACCCCCAACCCCCAAGACTTCTGAGGGGGAGGGTGGGGTTCGCTCCGCCCGGGAGCTCCCAGACGCAGGGAACCCCGCCCTCCCCCTCAGAAGTCGTGGGGGGTAGGGGCAGGGCTCGCGTGTGGCCCCCGCGTGAAGAGAGACGCGGCAACGCCCGGATCTCGGGGCCCCCCTCCAGCAGAGGCGGGCGTTCGGGCCCCGCCTCCGGCCTCGGGCCGCCGCGGGGGGGGGGCAATCCGGGCGCCGCAGCTGCTGGAGGGCATCCCTGGCCATCGCTCGGACGTCCATTCCCTTTGTTTTCGGTTTCGTACGTGGCTTTTTCGCCACATGATAAAGGATGTTTTTCGATGGTCCTCGCCGAAGGAAAAATGCGCACGCCCGAGCGATGCCAAGATCCCGAGGCGAGGAAACGTCCAGGGACCAGGAACCGACGAAGACGTCCGACTTACCCCGAAGCTGGCCAACCTCTCTTTTGGGGGGGGCGAACAGCAACACAAAACATCGCCAACCGAAAAACACACGAATCACAACAAATAAACATAAACAAACACAGCAACTAGCAAACAACGAACAAAAACACCAAACAAACACACAAACAAACAAACGCAAACACAATCAAACAAACATAGAAACAATCCAGCACACGAACAAACAACCACACGGCACACAGACGCCCACACAACCAACAGCAGCAACAACAACAACAACATCATCACCATCATCATCATCATCATCATCATCAGAATCATCATCATCATCATCATCATCATCATCATCATCATCATCATCGTCATCATCATCAACAACAACAGCAACAATAACACCAACAACAACAGCAACAATAACAACAACAACAACAACAACAACAACAACAACGACAACAACAACAATAATCATTCAGAAAACGGTTTGCTCTTACTGGCACGCGTGTCTTGCACTCCGTATACCCCAACCTTCGATTCCCGCCCATGTCGTCTTCGATTGCACCCCCTTTCGGCGGGAATTTCTTCCGTGTCGGCCACTGACTGAAGTGCGAAAGAGTCTCGAGCGAGAGCGCCGTTCCTGAGTTCGGGGGCCTCTCTGGCCAAGGGCTCTCGAAATACCCATGGGGAAATATCGAACGGGAACCCTTGTCGCCGTGCCCGGGCATCCACCAACTTGCCAGAATTACGGGAAAATTTAGAGCGAGAGCGCAACTCCTGAGTTCGGGGGCCTTCTTGGCCAGAGGCTCTCGGAGTAAATTGTGAGGAAGTATCGAGCAGGAGCCCTTTGTCGTCGTGGCTGGGCCTTCGCCAACTTAATTGAATTACGAAGATACCTTGAACGAGAGCGCCGTTCCTGAGTTCGGGGGCCTGGGTGACCAGGGTGTCTCGGGGTAAATTGTGAGGAACAATCGAGCGGGAACCGTTGTTGTCGTAGCTGGGCCTCCAAGGGCTCACATTCACGGTCAAGCCAACGCTCGAGTGGGAGCCTCGTTCTCAGCGAAGATCTAGCCGACGTCGAAGCGAGAGCGCGCGGAACCGTTTCCGGATACCAGCAATAATTATTATTTGGAAATGCGTATTCAACAACAACAACAACAACAGCAACAACAAAAGCAACAGCAACAGCAACACCAACAACAACGACGACAACAGCAACAACAATGGCAGCAGCAACAACAACAACAAACAAAACAAAAACAACAACGCGGCCGCCTTCTGGCGGTCGACCGCACGCCCCCGCAACTTCGCAAGCTGCACTTTCTTCCGGCCTGTCTTGGGGTCCGAACCCGTGGAGCCAGATATGATCGATCGCCACGTCGCGCTCTACCTCGTTCAACATGGGGCAGCTCTCTGGCGGGCGGAAGGCGCGGAAGCTGTCCTCCGCGATCTGGTCCTGAGCGAGGCGCACGCCCTCGCAGTGGGAGCGGACGTACAAGTCCCAGAGCACGTCCTCCGTGGAGTCCCGTGGCCGAGGTCGATCATCTTCGCCTGGTCCTCCGTGCTGTGCTCCTCGGAGTGCTCGATGTGCCTCACCTCCTTGTTGCCGGCCGTCTCCATGCAGCCCTTTGCGAAGATGGGGCGCGACAGGAAGACGATGGCGCGGTGCTCCCACGCGCGTCTGCCCTTCCCTGACCATCTGCGGCCGCGCCTCTTGCTCGCGCACTACCAACTGCCTCCGGCGGTGGCGCCCCCTGGCTCGTTTGCCAGCGCCGGCACCGCGCAGCGCGCCCGCTCCTTCGGCTTGAGGGGGGGCCGTCTTGCAGTGCGAACACACAAACACGATGCAGTTCTCTACCGAAGGCGATGGTGAAGTCTGCTGCAGTTCCTAGCCACTCGTCCTTCAGGACTGCCTCGTAGATATCCTTCAATCGGACGTTCGGTACCACTGGGCCGTCCTTATGCTTCACGAGCACCGCCTCTATAGCGTGCTCGATGACCCTGGTTTGCTGCGACGGCGACTCCTTCTTCTACTTCTCCTTCAGCAAATTGGGCCTTCCGGTCCTCAGGCTGTTGGTTCCCAGCCTGAGCCAATAATCCTTCTCGCTGTGCCGCGTGCTTCTGTGGCACCTGAAGAACATGGAACGGCACGGGCGCAAAGGGTCTGGGACTCTATTGACGCGCGTCCTCGGGAACTCGCCGCCCATGGCCTTGGCCACGCACCCGCGCGCGACGACTGAACTGATGTTTTGGAACCGTAGAATCTCACCGTCCTCGTAGGCCAAGACGATCAAAACGATACAAAGCCGCGCCCTTTCTCACACAAATGGCACGTAACCTGGTTGGTCGCGACCACGTGACCACCAGCGAACTTGCGCGTGCCTTCGGCTTCTAAAAATATCGAACATGATCTCAAAGGTCACGCGTCCTCCTCGAATCTTGCCAGCCCTCTTCGCCCGATTGCGGGCTTGGCGAGAGAGGGACTCTGTCAACTTGGCGGCCGGGCTCCCGTCCCGGTGGGTCGTACGGACCGCTGCCGCGCGCTCCCGACCTCCCTCCGCGGCCCTCCGCCTGGCGGCCTGGCTCCTGTCCCAGAGGGTCGCACGGAGTGCTGCTGCGCGCTCTCGGCCCTCCCCGGCGGTCCGCCGCCGCCCCCTCCGCGCTCTCCCCCTGCGCGACGGCATGGCGGGCGCCAAGGAGAATGAACTTCTCGCTCCGCCGCGGCGCGGCCTCGAGGGCGCAGGCCCAAAAGGCCAGCAGCAGCGCCCAACCGTGATTCAGCAACATAGCCACAGACGTCGGGCAGGGAAGAGGATACACCTTCGGGTTGGCACGCGAGGGCATGACAACAAAAAACGGCTTGCGCGCCCCTGGACCGCCCTCGGCGAGGCGCAGCTACTGTTGCGGATGCCATGACAGTGGACACTCTAACAATCCGATCGTTGAGTGAACATGTGTGCAAAATGTGTAAAACATGTTCTAACAATGTTTCAAACATGTTTTTACATATTCAAAACATGTTTGAAACATGTTGAGACATCTGGAAAATATGTGGCAGCATGCTTCCTCTCCATGAACCGACCTCCGCAGAGCTACTGCAGAGCCTCCCGAGGCGAGGAACCGCCCGAAGAACCAGCGACGTCGTCCGACGACTTCGAACCTCGCCAGCCGGGTGCGCACAACCCCCCAAGAGACCCCGCGGCCTCTGCTGAAGGGGCCCCAGGACACACAAATAAATACACACAAATAAACAGATTCTCCATAGTTTCCCATATTTTCTGGGTTTTTGTCTTCCCCCCCACTTCCCATATTTCCCGTATTCCCTACCTGGGTTCTGCCTAGAAGGGTTCTTACCCTCTTAGCTGAAAAGGGCCGGGCAATGGTCCTCGCCCCGGGCGGTTCCCCCGGCATCCGCCCCGCGGTTCCCCCAGTTACGTCCCCTTAGCTTAGCGTTGCTTATCTCATCTTAGCTTAGCTTATTTTCCCATCTTCGCTTAGCCTAGCTTAACTTAGCTTAGCTTAGTTTAGCTGAGTCTAGCTTAGCTTAGTTTAGTTTTGTTTAGTTTAGCTTAGCTTAGCTTAGCCTAGCCTAGCCTAGCCAAGCTTAGCTTAGCTTAGCTTGGCTTGGCGTAGCTTAGCTTAACTCTAGCTTAGCCTAGCCTAGCTTAGCTTAGCTTAACCTAGCTGAGTGTGTATGAGCATAGCTCAGCTTACCTTAGTTTAGCTTAGCGCAGCGCAGCATCTCGCAGCGCAGCACAGCATTAGCACAGCATAGCATAGCATAGCATAGCATAGTATTGCATAGCATAGCATAGCATAGCATAGTTCAGCATAACATAGCATATCATAGCATAGTATAGCGCAGCATAGCATAGCATGTCATAGCATAGCATAGCATGTCATAGCATAGCATCGCTTAGCATAGCACAGCGCAGCATCGCATAACATAACATAGCACAGCATAGCATAGCATAGCACAGCGCAGCATATCATAGCATAGCATAGCATAGCGAAGCATAACATATCATAGCATAGCCTAGCATAGCGCAGCATAGCATAGCGCAGCATAGCATAGCATATCATAGCATAGTGCAGCATAGCATAACATAGCATAGCATGGCATAACATAGCATAGCATAGCTTAGCGCAGCACGTCATAGCATAGCATAGCATAACATAGCCTAGCATAACACAGCGCAGCCGAGCGTACCCTAGCATAGCATAGCATTGCATGGCGCAGCATAGCGCAGTATAGCGCAGCATAGCAAAGCATAGCAAAGCATAGCATAGCATAGCATAGCATAGTATAGCGCAGCGCAGCGCAGCGCAGCATAGCATAGCATAGCATAGCATAGCATAGCATAGCATAGCAGCTCGTTACTACTGATGTTGCTCTCCTTGGGGCTCCAATTCCTAGGTAGGGTCACTCTGGGATTATTTTCCTGGGGATCAACGATGAATTGTGTCTGTGTGTTTTTTCCCCTCCTGAGCCTCTGCGCCCTGCGGCGCGCGGCCGGCGCGCGCCGCCGCGCCAGCGCGGCGGCCGCCGTGGCCGCCGCCAGCGCCGTGGCGGCGGCGGCCGCCGCGGGGCCCCGAGGCGCGCCACGGCGGCGCGCCACGGCGGCGCGCGCTGTGCGGGGCGGGCGCCGTGGCGGCGGCGGCGGCGGCCTGCCCGCGCCGCGCCTGCGGGGGCAGGGCGGGGGCGCCGCGCCGGCGCCCGCGGCCAGGGCCGCCATTCGGCCTCCCGACGGGGGGCCGCCAGCCGCGGGCGCGGCCACGGCGGCCTGGGCCGCGGCCGCGGCCGCCGGGGCGGGGGTGCCCGGGCCCCCGGGCCTCCGAGCCAGACCTGCCCGCGGCGCGAGCAGAATCGCGACGAGAGGCTCTTGCCGATCTGCGGCCTACGAGAGGCTCTTGCCTTGGCCGGGCCTCGGGGCCGTCCAAGGAACAACTCGGGAGGACAACAGCGAGAGGGTCGGGACGTCGGGGGGCCACGCACTGGAAACGAGGCACGTCTGGGGAGACAGCGCCGTGGACCGAGAGCATCACGGTGGAGCAGTCCCTGAGACCTGGGCGTCGCATTTGTTATCCGCGCCAGGCGTGCTCGCCCTGCCTCGGGCCCGGGCCGGGGGAAATCACGGGCCGATCTGAACCGAGACATACCGTGGAGAGAGGGGGTCTGGGGCTCTGGCCGTGATCTCTCGCGAGGTTTGCATGTTGGGGGGGGATCTCGGGGTCCGACCGCGCCGTAGACTCCAGTCGGGCCTGCTGTCCCTCTACAGGAAGGATATCAGTGGAAAATGATCAGGGGACTATTTTTTGTTTGTTTTTGAACATCTTGGACGTACTCCAGATTTCGTAATAAAGGGAGGATGGTCTCATTTCGGGGGGGGTCTCTTCCAGGCTATCTCGGAGGGTCTGGGGGGTCTGGGGACGATGCTTTGGAGGGTTCTCCCACGGGGGAAGTCTGAAATGGCTTGTCTTGGAGGGTCCAGACCCCCTCCCTTTTATTACCAAATCTGGAGTAGTTGTTACGATGCATCACTTTCCGCCCAGAATCTCCCTGAAGGGGCACAGGCCCGACCTGACCGTCGACGCAGAAGCTCGGCGGAACGGCCGTGTTGGGGCCAGCTCTCCTGGCCCGCTCTCGGGGCCCCTGCCCGCGAGGGGCGCGCGCAACGAGGCCAGGAGGAGGAGGAGGAGGAGGAGCAGGAAAAGAGGAGGTGGTGGTGGATGACAAGGAGGGGGAGGAGGCATAGGATAAACACGACAGTGGGAATGATGGAGGAGGAGAGAGGAGGAGGAGGAGGAGGAGGAGGAGGAGGAGGAGGAGGAGGAGGAGGAGGAGAAGGACGAGGAGGAGGAGAGGAGGAGGGAGGAGGAGGAGGAGGGAGGAGGAGGAGAGGAGGAGGCGGAGGAGGAGGGAGGGGAGGAGGGGAGGAGGAGGGGGAGGAGGAGGAGGAGGAGGAGGAGGAGGAGGAGGAGAGGAGGAGGAGGAGGAGAGAGGAGGCGGAGGAGGAGGAGGAGGAGGAGGAAGGCGCCCTCGGACCGGGACGGGCGGGGACCTCGGAGCTGCGGCGGCCCCGGCCTCCCGGAAGGGGCTCTCCGGGGGCGCGCCGCGGCCGCTCCGCGGGCGCTCCGCGGGCGCCCTCGGAGCGCCCTCGGCGCGGGGCGGCTGCCCGTCCTGCGGCCTCCCTCCCTCCCTCGCTCCGCCCTCGGCGCGGGGCGGCTGCCCGCCCCGCGGCCCCGCCCCTCCCTCCCTCCCTCGCTCCCTCGCTCCCTCGCTCCCTCCCTCCCTCCCTCCCTCCCTGGGGGCCGGCCCCGGGCGCAGCGGGCTGGGGCGTCCAGGCGTCCGCGCCGTGGTGGGGGCGTCGCGGCGATAACAGAGGCCCGGGGCGAGGAGGGCGGCGAGCGGGGCGAGGCGAGGCCGTGCCCGACTGCATGCGACTTCACGCGGGCACTGTGGGCGCCCGCCTCGGAGGTGCGGGGTGGGTCAGGTGGAGGGAGCTGCGGGAGGGCTGGGAGAGGGAAGGGGGAAGGACGAGGGGCGAGGAAGGCAAGAAGAGGGGAGGGGGTGGAGGGATGGAGGGGGGGGGACGTGGAGAAGGAGGAGGGAGACCGAGCGAGGAAGGGAGGAACGCACAGAGGACGAGGGACGAGGAACGAGGGAGGGCCTGGGAGGAG